AAGCTTCTGTTACTGAGATTGCTGTCCTTTGAATTCAGAGTTTGCTTTTTAACAAGCCAAATCCTCCATGAGGTTCAAGTGTAGTTCCTTTAGCATATCGCAGTGCAACTGTTCATCCTTTCTCTCCCCTATTTGACTCTGACACCCCTGGAGACAGGATCAAGATACTCTTTCTTTTTCTTTTTTTGAAAAAAAAAAAAGGCCACACAGCAGACTTTAAATTTGTTGAGTAAGTGTGGCTCATCCCCAATGCAAGTTTATTATCTCTACTATAATGTTCTCGGTAAATATAGTGGTGCAATTGTTTGTCATACTTGCAAATTTGTTAAAATTATTTTCTATTTTTTGGCCTGGATTTCCCCCCCCCTCCCCAAATGACACTCAAATGCTTTGCATTCTGAATTTATGGGCCACTGTTAATTTGCACCGTCCGTTCCAAATCAAATGCTATATCCCATATCTTGCAATTACTCAGTGTTATTCACTGCTAATGTCTAAATCGGAGAAGTGAAAAGGACAATTGTTTAGTGCTTTTTAAACTCCCTGACCAAGATCAGTAGGGAAATCCCATTAGCTCCATTCACCGCATTTCTCATAAATCTAAAAGGAAAGCAAGTATCCAAAGCCTTATTCTTTAATAGTTCTTATTTGTAAAACCTTGACAGGGCTTTATTCTAAATTGCTTCCAAATTACGCAAAGAATACGGAGAAAGATGATGGGCAGTGAGTCGTGAGGGTTTCATCGAATAAACAAGCAGAACAGTAAGAAGGGACTAATCTGAAAGCAAACAGCGAGGGCTGGGCTGGGAGGGGAGAGAGCAGAACTGTGGAATTCCTCAAACTGCCATCTGCCCCAATCCTCTGTAAGTGGCCAAGCTCAAGTGTCTTTTATTCAGTGCCTCAAAGTTATTCACAAGGAGTGCTATTTGAATATTAATATTTCCACATAGTAAAAAAAACCAAACAAAAACCCAAAACCCCAAACACCCTCTTTTTTTTGCAACCAAAAAGGAATGTTTAGCAAAATAATGGGTAATCCTCAGGCTAAACACGAAGGCGTGGGAGGGACATGTGGTGGTGGTGGTGGGGGGGGCGGTGGTGGTCAGTGAAGGTACAGTAGGCAGCTCTTTGGGGCCTGCGCCTCCACTGTTCTCTGTGGTTAGAGCAACTTATTAAAGCTGTCATTAGGGCTTGAAATTTGGGCAAGAAGTGTAAAAATAAGAAACGCACCGGGCAAAATGAGTTCAGCAATTGGCAGAGCCTAATATCACCCTTGAGAAAGGAGAATGCAGAACAGCCCTATCAGATAATCGGATAATCGAGGCAAGTGACATAATAGAAATCATCTGGAGGTGAAATTCTGCTCTTTGAAGGTATTTGTGCTCTTTACAGCAGACCCCTGGCAACTATTTTGTTTATTAAGCTCTCTTTTTTTTTAAATGTAACTAACTGCAAGAGGCTTTTATTTTGTTTTCCCAAAAAAGTGTTTGAAAAGCTTCAGTTGAATCAGCTACATGGCTACCACTTATCTTCAGCAGAGATGCTAAAAATGGGGGATTGGAACGTTTTCTGTGGTTTCAGAGACAAAACGCGGTCCTGCTGGCTTTGTGCTGTGCTTCCCTTCCAGAAGGCACTGCCTTCTGTCTGCTTAGGGCGTGGCATCTGCCATTGGGGAAGAAAAACTGGCATGCACTGCCTTTCATAGCAGCCTGCTTTCATTGTGCGAGGGCCCCCAGCACGGAGCCTCCTGGTTCTAATCTTCTTGGTGACTCGCTGGCCGAAATGGAATGGAAAGAAATTCAGATTTACATATCTACTTCCCCCATCCTCCACCCCGAATATTGTGTGGTGTTCCCCCACCATGAGAACAGGTATTTTAAGGAAAGGGTCAAGGCTGAAGTTTGTGGCTCATTTTCTTTTCTAAGATTCGTTGTGCAAACAAGCCATGACTTCTGGCTAGACATTATCTGCTTTGACTCTGCTGTATTATTCTATCAATGGAGAAAGAGATGCCCTTTAATACTCAGCTGGCTATCTTCTGTTTAATAAATGCCTAAAAGCATGAATATGCAGCCTATTGTCGAATAACTTGAATATACACATATACTCAGGACAGATATGAAAAACTTAAAAAACCCAACTTAGGTGGTGTAATGTGTATAGTGTGTATGCATTTGTATATATATGAAAGGAAAAAATTCAGATAAAAACATCAGAGGCACACTACAAAGATGTAGTATTTCTCCTGGCAACAGGGAAAACAATTTGGCATGAATTCACCCAAAAGTTGTGTTCTCTTGTTCCACAGGTTGCTCTAACTCTAGTTTTCCAGTTGTTTGCAGAGAAGTGCGATTGATTGTTTCCACACTGGACACTAACCCCAGGGTTGCACCTGATCGCCTCTCCAATCCCTAATCTTTCTCCAGTCTTTTGTTGGCCCATTAGCCATGCCATGTACTTGGCGAAGCCAGCAAAAATATAACCGCTGCTACTGATAGACACTTAAGGCATCCTTAAAGTTGGAGAATGAAATTATTTCAAACAACCACCTTCTACCAAAATCATATCAATTATTTCAACCAGCTGGAAGGTTCTGTTTTCAAATGATTTCTAGGTGGCTAGCAGAACCAAACTATTGCCTGTGCTTAAGAAGTCTTGCTATCAGATATACTCAAAATACTAACTTCTTCTTGTTGTGTACCATCAAGTCGGAACTGACACCTAGCTGACCCTCCGGAGGGTTTCTAGACGTAATTAATCTCACAGAAGGACACTGCCCATCCTTCTCCTGTGGGGCAGCTCACTCGGGATTGCAGTGCAGCCTCTTGCCATTCGACGTATTTATTATAAAGTGATGGTGGATACTATTTCCTACAGAATGAAGCAGGAAAGATGTCTACTTTGGGATCTGACTTGGTTGGCTTCTCTTGATTTTCTACTTTTATTTATTAGACAATGTTTATTTTCACGTCACGTTAACAGGTCCACAATAACCTCTGAAATAAATATTATAGAAGGTGTCATGTGGTGGCATGAAGATGTGCCTCAAACCCTGGTACTAGTCCAGTACACTAGTTACGCATTTATCCTAAAGTTTTTGGAGCCTCAAGTGCCACTCGACGGCTTTAAGGATGTCCACTTTATAGAGGACAGACACGTGAAATGCTCCTCTGGGGACCCTTTCCCTCGCTAAGCCTCCAGGCAAGTAGTAGGTGCCTTGGAAACGAGTTATAGAATCACTATCTTCAGGTGGAACCTGAGCACTTATTGAGTCCCTGCTGTGTACAGGGCACATGGACTTGGCACTCATCCTAAACCTTTCCCAACTCCGCACTTTGAAGAAGTTGTGGCTATGACGCGCGGGGACCGAAATCAAGGCAGAGAGGCTGCCATTCTGAGAAATTACGTAACTCCTAGGAGACAGTGCTTTTGCACAGATTGCCCAAATATTTTCCTTTCCCCGTCGGCTCCTGGTAACCTTGGAGTCCCAGGGACAAGTCTGCCCCGAGCCCCTTGCTCCCTTTTGTCTGGCCGGTCGGCCCCTTCTCCAGCCGGGTTGGCGCGGCCGGGCGCCGGG